AGCTAAAAATACAGAAAACATGTTTCAATATCCATAGAATATGAATTTATGCAAAAAAGGATTTCTGCATTTTTGGACGGGTAAATTTGGAAAAAATCTGAGCGTTAAGTGGTTAAACACCAAGCATGTGTTTAGATACTAAAATTGGAAGAATTTCAAAAAGTGTAGTTAATCATTTTGACTTCTGAGTAACTCAAATATAAACGGGTCAAGAAAGAAAATAATTAAGTATTGTGAGAGTAAAGCGAAATAGATGTACGTATGTTATGCGCAGCCGAAACTCAGAAGTTCAATCACTGTACGGGTTATATTATTATCGTTTAATAATGAAAATTTATATTTTTATAGTTTTCATTTTATTTTTATGAAAATAGTATCAATGAATTGGTAAGATTCTCCTGATAAAAATGAGACCAAATATAACAGAGGAGTGTCTTACTACTTTTAACAGAAATCAATTTGAGTATTTGAATAATCAGTGGCTGAAAGTAGTATGTCTATTTTACTTGCTCTCGCTATACCTATTCATTTTCTCTGTCAAACTAATATATGAGCAGTTGCTGAACTGAAAACGCTACCATGCTTGTGAACATTTTCATGTACGATCTTGAGTCTAATCGAGCGGAGTATGCATTTAATTTTATACGTTTGAAAAGGAAATTTAAACCCGCACTAAATTCTTAAAATGTTATTTATACACATTACTTACAGAATGTTTCGCCTAAAATAAGCTACCTAAATATCTCTTTCAATTGTGATGATACAAAAAATATTTCGTATTAAAGGACGAATGTGTGGCAAAGAATATTTTTGTCCTACAATCACTCCTTTCGGAGTTTTCAAGATTATTTTTTTTTTTTTTTGCATATAAATACATATTTTCTCGTCTTGACTGCTATGAAATTTCTAAGGCATTTATCACTGACTTTCTTAGTTATCATGTTAATAAATATTCATAATAGTGTCCCTCCATAGCGATACATTATCTGAAACAAGCAATCAGAGATTGTAATATTCTTTCGATTGTTTCAGGAATAATGGCAGTGCAAGCTCTAATTATTTTGCTTTTCATGTCCTTTGATGTAGGTTGTTCGTTTGTCTAAAAGCGGTTAAATCTTCTAGATATTTATAGTGCGATAGTAAACATGTTTATTTACATTCACAGGTTCTCTCTCATCATTGCTGAAGCCTGTGATTTCGATGGAAATAAATTTCATGTTTAACTTTAATTTTAGAAGTCAAAGGTGACTTCAAGGTTATATCATTATACATCTCCAAACGCATTTTAATATCAGCTACAATATGTAACAAAAAAAATAAGTATTTAAAAAAAACATTGACAGCATTGAAAACTTTGAAAAAATGACCTTGAAACAAAAATATTCTTTGTGACGTATTCATACCATTCAAATTTTATATATACGTTTGGAAGCCACATTTTAGAAAGGATTATTTGAAAGAGCCATTTATTTATCTTTGATAACAAAACAAACAATGAGAAACTGAAAAATCAGTTCAATTTTTTAAAGTTTACCCATAATTACTTTTGGACATTGATCAGTTTTAGTTACTATATTTCATACATACATTTTATTTGCATAAGAGCCGCACCACTCGCCTGCGAGAGCCGCGCTATGGCCACCCCTGTTATATATGCAATTTTTTTTGTATCATCACAACTGACAGAGATATTTAAGTACCTTATTTTAGGCGAAACATCCTGTATAATCCTTTTGTTCTTACCTAATACATATTAATGAATGTTAATTCATGTTGGACTTGGCTGGCTGGTAGTTGTTCTACATTGTGCTTCAGATGCTTCAAGTTTCTCAAGCCTATGCAATGGATCCATTAGGCTTTTTTCTTCAGAACCAGCAGATTCAGCTACTTCTACAGCAAACAATTCATGTAAAAATAATAATAAACTTATTTCCATTATACTAATATTTCACATTAAGTATTTACCTGTTGAGTATTGATTATTAGTTTGTGATATAAGATTTTGATTTTTTCGTGCTTGATCAATATCTCTTAACCCTTGTTCTATAAAGTCTTGGAAAAATTGGTGTGATTTTACCAAGAAAGGTTGCACATCTGCTTCAGGATATTGAAGTTTAAAATCATACAGTTGCATTAAACCCTGTACAAGAAGTACACTTACTAGACTATAAAAACATTAAATATTAGATAATAACTAGAATATATTATTTATTGACATACATACTTCTTGCGTATGTTCTTTAGATCCAATTTTTTTGAATATTTCAGACAATTGTTGATGAGTAAATTTTGATAAGTGTTCTTGAGTTTTTCCAGTATTGCTTGATTTTACTGTAGTCCTGGGATTACTATTAATTTCATCTGGTTTAAAAGTCTGTTAAACATTATTATAAGAAATTAGAATTTTTTATTCTTTTAAGGTTCAATATCGTATAAATATTTAATTAACTAACTGCGATTAGTCTGATGAGATAAGAATGTAATTCTGACTCATTTGTATTATTTATTCGTGTTAGGTGACTAAGTATTGTACTGCCTTTCACACGGGTCATACTATGAAGAATTGTTTTAATTGTACGTAATGGAGTATCAGATTTTTGCTTCTTCCACCATACACTTGGATAATCCTATAATATATGTTCATATGTTTATATATATATGGATTTTTATAATATATTTCAATTACATAAGAAACATTAATAAGAGACACACAACAAAAACGCACGTGTACCTTCAAAAATCGATGCACTTCCAAAAGAATTGTATCATAGTCTAAGTCCACAGCCCAATTAGGAAATGTTTTCACTATTTTCCATAAGCACTTCATAACTAATTCTTCATATTTAGATGGAGCAGTAGATTCAGCACATCCATGGAGTAATTTTATTAAAACGCTAAATATTGAAAGTATAAGGAAATAATATTTATTTTATAAAATAAATATTTTAACCTTTTAGCTACGGCGCAGCTGGCCGCGAACTGCGTGTAAACGACGTTAGTACTACGAAAAATAAAATAAAAAAAGAAAAAGAAAAATGTGACGGCGTCTCACATCACACAAATAATGTACTTACATGGCTTGCAATGCGAGATAAGCAAATGAGCCATTATAAGTGGTCTTCTGTAACAAAGTGTTACTTAGAGTTTAGAGGAAAGCCACTATAGTGGCGTATCGTTCTAAAAGATGACCTAGCGGAAAGCCACTATAGCAGTATATAGTAGCTAAAAGGTTAATTTAACTAAGAATGCATTAGATACAAATTAATTCTAGTATTAACAAAATAATTCTTTATACTATTACCATATGATAGTAGTATGATTTGAGTTGTCTATTATTCTACAAACAATGTTATTAATTACGCGGTAATACACTTCTGCCTGGTGTAAATGATTTAATTTATTTTCAGCTAACAAACTAATCATTTGATCAACAAGTTCTTTTAAGTGTATCAATGGAACGTTTTTTCCAAGAATCCCAGTATCATAAAACTGTAAATAATTTGACAATAAATATAATTTATGTGTTATTTTATGTATATTCTATAATTCATTCTTACCGCTAACAAAACCATAAATGTGTTCCTAAAACCTTTAGATATATCTGCTCCCCCTTGTTGTAAAGGATAAGTTTGAAGAAGTTTTAATTGCATATTTATTTAACTAATAAATTTATCTTCTTTAGATTGCAAACTCAAAATTTGATGAGATTTTATCAGCTGTAAAATAATTTGAAGTTATAAATATAAGCATTTATAAATTAACATAAAAATACACGTTATAAATACACACATTATCTATACTATTCATTGACTGTATTGCAACAACCAAATCTAAACTAGCCATTGCAAGAATTTTACGTTCAAGACTGTCTTCTTTACTAGCATTAGCTGTGCTTAATTGCTGTTGCGCCATTGATGCAGATTTTGATACTAACAATTTTGGAGGAGATAGGGGAATCACTCTGGAAAAATATATTGTATTAAAATACGTTGTGTCACAGGGAACACTGGTGGTTTATTATACATAATAATTAGTAAAAATAAAACTTGGATTACATAGATAAAGGTATCTTTTGATATACTACTCGAGTAAGATGAAATGTAAAACAGAGATCAAAGTATCTGAAAATTAACGCAACTATTATTTTTCCCTAATTAAATATTCTAATGCAACTTCTTTCCTCTCTTTTAACTACAAAAGACGTATATCCAGGGTTTCTTCCAATTTACGCACCTAAAATATCTCTGTTCCTTTTGATTATTTAAGAAAATGGAGAGAAAATTATTCTGTCCAAAGAGGAAAATGTTATGACTGTTGCTAGGTAATAATTTTTTCAAGACCATATTTTTAGAGAATTCAAGCTCATTGTCATTTTTTTAAATGGAATGATATATTTTCGTTGCCATATAGTTAAAGCTGTTCAACCATGTGCCATATTGACCTTCAAATGACGAAAAATCTGTTTTCATCAGAGGAAAGGAACTGTGTAAAATTTACATGTGACTTGCAGAGGTCGAGCTTCTCTGAATTCGAGTTATATGTAGTGATAAAATAACGCATTTAAACGTGTAACAAATAATTCGAATTATAAGAAGTTTATATTTGGATTTACAGAAGCTTTTATAGCGAAGTGGAAGGGAATGAGCAAAATTCTAGTCTTATAGAGGTTTTCGAGTTATAGAGATTCGAGTTACTGAGGTTCGACTGTATTTATTTTAGATGTTCAAAATTATTACAGTTAACTTCCATACATTTTTAAATACGATAAATGAAGGATTATTTTGCACTTTCTACATAACACATATAGTTGAATTCATTTTTTTTCAGCTTTAACAATACGGCAACATAAATATACTATCCCATTTAAAAAAAAAAATAGTAGTTTGAAATCTTAAAAAATGACCTTGCAAAAAAATTATTACTTCATAGCAATGTTTACTCTTTTGAACAGAATAATTTCTTCCTCCAACATTTTTTTGTATAATGAAAAGGAACGAAGATATTTGAGGTGCTTTAGTTAGAGAAATCACCCTGTATATGATCTCAAAAAACAACCAGTTTCTTATGAAAGATGTGTATATACTTATGTACGGGTGATTTCACGCCAAATCGATCACTTTGTGACATCGACATCAGGGATTTTGTTACAAATGAAATATAATGTAGTACACGCGAAATT